TCGATATTTTTTAAATGTGTTTTCTATGTAAGTGGTAATTTAAGTTTAAGAAACATGAATAATTCCTTTCCAAAAATTAAAATAAAATTTAAAAATAATAACTAGTTCATTAAATTAAGTTGAAAGCATCTAAGTCATCGTATGCGGCCTACGTGACCTGTCGCACGTACGCACGACGACGTTTCGAGTGCAGCGGTGGTGACAAGGCACTCAAACTCCAATGTCCTTTGAAAGCAGAATCGAAGTGTCAAATTCTTTTACTAATATTATCAGTTTTTAAATAAATAATTATTGGTAATACCTTATACAGTTATTCTTTCATTTGTAACAACTTAGCTATAGAGGCTGTAGTTACCAACCTTACCCACAAAACTGTCGATTCGCACGAACTGCGGTTGTAAAACATGAAACCACCCGCGATATTTTCAACCTTAACTCCTAAGACTTACAGAGCACTTTATGAATTAGGTACAATTTCTAACCGTAGTCAATGTGTAAAATTTGTGCAGTTAACAAAAAACCACAAGTACAGTTGCTTATATCAGTTTTTTTGTTTCAAAAACACAAGCAGTTAAAACTACTGCGGTTCAGCCCATGAGCAGACCGAAGGATTAAGCCGCGGCCGTCAACAATCTGTCACTGAAATAACTGACTAATCAGTCAGAAAGATTTTATACGGAGCCTAAATTATAATTCTACAAAACAATACTAGACGTAAATATTAGAGATTAGCGCTTAAATTAAAATTATGCCAAACTAAAATAAGACTTAATAATATGTCAGTTAGCTCCAAGGTAAGTTAGTTACGTTTTTGACCACATCTGTTAAATAGAAACTGTCATATAAATTATGTTTGTCGACGAATCATATTGTGGCCCTGAAAAGGACCTTTTGTTTTAAGAATGCGATGCGACGCGTGGCCCATGCATGCGTCGCAACATGTTCTCAGACGACCTGTATCACCTCCCGTGGTCACGGATGACTCCAGCACTTCTACTTCCTCAGTATCCAGCTTAGCATTGACTTCCTTCTTCTTCATTTTCTCTACTCTTTGCCTCTAAATAAGCCACAATTATTGCATCCATTGTAGCTTGTGATAACATCATGTCTTTAGAGGATGCTGAACTCCACTCCATTATTGTGGCTGTGTCCTCCGATTTGAAGCTCCAACCTGAGCGCTCAACAGGTACTGTCTCTATGGGTGGTACAGGCATAGTAACCATGCTTCTTTGTCTCGAAAATTTCTTGGGTTTTGATATGTGGCCACTATTTCTTTTCAGTAATCCACTATCCTTGTGGCCAATTCTTCCGCAGCTGTGTCCAGGTTTTCCAGTTTTGGTAAAATCATGCCCAGTACCGCTGTTTTGTATGTTGGTATTCGACAAATTCTTCATTTCGGTAATTTTAAAATCACAAGACACAAAGTCTCAGGTATATATATATATTTGTAACTTGTAATGATCGACTAGCGACTGGCGACTGTTCGTGTCAACTGCAAGTCAAGCACTAATGCCTTGGTAGCTGTGATTTGGTTCGCCAACTTTGACAAAGATAAAAATTGGAGTGGGGAGAGCTACTGTCAAGCAAACGGGTCAGGTAATTTACCAGTTACTCATACAGCCGTAAAAACCATAAAGTGACACATTTAAATATAATTTTGTTTCTATCTCTCTCTTTTTTTGTTTAACTCGTTGTTGTTTTGAGTTTAAGCTTTCCAGTCTCTGAGTGACAAGTAATGAATTATTGTCTTAACTATTCGACTATTTAGACAATTTTGTTACCGACAGTTGAATTAAAATATTTTTATTATAGATGTATGTTTGTCTGCTGTCATCTCGAAATCGGTTGAATCGACTTTCATTTGTTCACTTAATTTGATTTCGTGTATAGCAACGTTTTTGATAAAAAAAATTTTGATGAGCATACAACGTAATATATTTTTCACCACTGCCTCCATTGTGAATATCATACGAAAGAGCTTGATTGACAGAATAGAGTTCATTTGTTGTGAAGGATGTACTGAGAAGACTTTGTTCGGTTTGGCCCTACGATTATTAAGCACTAATCTTATTTTGTTAAAATATTAGAGGTTATAGTAGATATTTTCTATGTCAGTGGTAATTATTGTTTAAGAAGAATAACGTTTCCTTTAAACAATAATGAAAATGTAAAAATAATATTAAATGTTTTAATTAATGATGTTGATTTAATAATTGGACTTTGTTCCATTTGTTCAACTTTAAGTCGCACGTACGCACACCGACGCGACGTTTCGAGTGCAGCGATGGCGACAAGGCACTCAAACTCCAGTGTCCTTCGAGAGCAGAGTCGACATGTGAAATTCATTTACTACTTTTGTCAATTGTCAAAGAAATAATTACTTGTATTACTGTACTGCTACAGAGGCTGTCATTACCAACTACCTTAACCATCTAACCAACCACCGATACTGCTGAAAAATTAAAATTATAACAAACTAAACTAAGATTTAATAATAGACAGTTAAACCCCAATAAGCTGGTTACGTTTTTGACTACATCTATTATATAGAAACTATGACGAATCATATTGTGGCCCTGAAAAGGGCCTTTTGTTTTAAGATAGATCCTTAGATCATACCTCAAATAGAGTTTTAACTCTGAGTACGCCTCGCTTTAATGTAAGCTAGGAAGTCTTCTTGCAGTTTTTTGGGACCCTTTCGACGATATTCTTCGTATGTAAGCCGCCCTTCACCACAGGTACTAGTAGTAGCACCACGGGATTCCTCACCAGGTTGACTCCTGTTTATTTGTTTCTGTCTTACGTTTCTTTTGATTGGTGGCAGTGCTGGTACCGCGAATATGTGGTCTTTTGGTGACTCCAACACTTTAGAGATAATTGAGCACATCTCTGGTTGGTCTGAAGTAGCTGAATCCACCTTGATATTTATTAAAACTTATAAAATGCAATTCACATTATTCTCATGATTGAGATAACATTTCTATGATTCAATGAACCAAGATAATTGATCATGATACTATTAAGTTTTCATGCGCTGCTAACATCGCTCGCTAAGTGTTTTACTTATACTAACATTACAACTTGCACACCTTGTGTCCCCCAAGCGGCCACGTCTAAATCGTTAAAAGACTCGTCTTCCAGGACTGTAAGACGTTTTCTTTCAGTGCGACCCTACACTGCCAAAGGATTGTACACCTTAGTAAGTTCCAGATATTGAAATGTTACTCAATTTTATGTTGTACTTCGTATCATACTTTGTCGAAAACTCAACCAAGAAGACACGATTCTCGGTGCGGTTGGTTCAAGCTTTACGTCAGTTAAGTCATCGTTTGCGACCTACGTGACTTATCGCATGTATGCACGATGACGTTTCTTGTACGACAGTGGCGACAAGGCAATTAAACTCTGGTCTCGTATACCGAACTAAAGTATTTAAATTATGTTTTGAAGGTTTTAATGTTGGGTAAGTAGCTCCCAATAAATTCGTTATGTATTTGACTAACGTCTGTTATATAGAAACTGTCATATAAAGTAATGTCTGTCGACGAATCATATTGTGGCCTTGAAAAGAGCCTTTTGTTTTAAGAATGCGTTGCGCTGGGTGCTTTCCACGACTTAGTTCAGCTCCTGCCATCATTGTGGTCTAAACTGCTCTAAGTCGCAAAGCAGTTTTTCACTCTTCACACGTATTTCTATTTTCTTCATGTAATTTGTCAGTCGTTCCTGTGACATAGGACGCACTTCCTGACCAGCTCGCCCATGGAGGAGCTGAAACAGGCTGCAGCCACTGTTGCCACTATCCATGATTATAGTTTCTTCATATATCTGACCTATAATTGCTGTTGACGTCACTGACTCAGGAGGATCAGCTCTGAAGGTTGGGACGATGTTTCTTCGATTCAGTTTACCAATCTTATAACTTACCCGTCTTATAACTTACTTTTGTTATTTTAGTTATACCAACATTCCTTGCACGCGGTATGATACGAATACGTCTAAATATATCACCGGCTACTCTTAAAGAGCAAGTATATTTTCAATTAAGATAACTTACTATTTATAATATTCATGTATACCGTACCTATATTTGTTGTAGCATACAATATAAAAAAACAAACCTAAGTTTTTTATGGTATTTACGTTGTTAAAAGTAGCTAAATGCAAATATGAGCATGCCTCATATTCCTTGACTTTACCTAAAATAGCGTTTTATTATTAAAATTATTATTTCTTGGCTACTCTCTAGTATTTTACCGTAAGAGTATCATCGCGCTTGCTCAATGCGGGTTGGGTTGGTAAGAAAATGTAAGTATAGGAAAATGACAACATTTATCATTTACTTTTTTGATTTTAGTCTTTCCGATGATCTCAAATGGTAAACCGCAGCAGTGGCAACTTATAGGCTGTTGATGATGATTATGCATATTCTTATAGTAAAATATTAAAGAGTAGCCGAGAAATAACAATTGTAAACAACTAATTGTTTCGAAAATTTAATGATAGTTAATTAGTTCAAAGATAAGTTAGTTACGTTTTTGACCACATCTGTTAAATAGAAACTGTCATATAAACTACTGTTTGTCGACGAATCATATTGTGGCCCTGAAAAGGGCCTTTTGTTTTTAGATTGCGGATGCACTTGGCATTCTCCAAGCAACTCCTCTGCAATTAACGATGGATGCTCTCCACGACCTGCATTATGCACAACCTTCATGCAATGACGGGGGCGACGGGGGCCGCGGCGGTGTTACGCGATCCGGCCTAGCGTTCGAGGTACAACTGCAAAGGAAAGTAAAAGTGTTAAAATAATGAAAGGGAAACACGCGTTGCAAATATTAATAATAGTATAGCGACGGATAGTCTTAGTAATAAAATAGAAGGTGACGTTACAAACAAAAAACAAAAAAATACACTTACTGTTGTAATCTTCGCTAAAGTCGAAGCTGACCAACTGGACGCTGTTGTTGGCCAGTGTCACGGCGGCGCGTAGTTCCTTCCCGTCAGCGAACTGAAGGAGAGAGGTAGACACCACCTTGGCGTCCATTTTTAATGAAGTCAGATGGTCTACCGATGCCGTCGTCGACGACTGCCGCTCTGTCGGCGCTTCTACTATGTAGTCCGCCGCCAGTTTCCCCCGTTTTATTAATTTCCTGTTAGAGAGAAACGTACTGTTGTATTAAGAGATACGTGGACCTATCGCACGTTTATTGGCAATAGCAATTGAATATATAATATATATTTATACTTGTTACAAGTAGATAACACTATCGATCCAGTTCCATGATTTAATACTTACGCTAATTTCTTTCGCTGCGTCTTAACCTCCTTTGACTCGCTCACAGAGCAGGAATCGTCGATCCGTATGCGCAACGAGTACAGACTCAATAGTCCACGATCCGTGTAGCACGCCAACACATCGTTGTAGGTAGAGAGGCCGATCAGGCGGCCTCGCGCTACCAACGTGTCGCTGTAGATGAGGTGACACTGTAGCACCACCTCAGTGTTAGCGGCATCAGCTGCTGTCCACTTCAGCTCGTAGACCTTGATCTCCTTGTACTCGTTGCCCGTCACCAGATATCGACTATCCCTGCACAATACTGCAGACGATACCTACAAAAATAATACTATTGTTAAATTTCGCTCGCGAAAATATTCACACGAGAAGTAAGAGATAAACTCTAAAACGATTGTTTCTTTAAAAAAGTAACAAGAAACAATAAGTACATACCTGGTCGTTTGGATCACCGCCCAAAGTCTTGAGACACTGGTTAGTCGCAACGTCCCAAAACTTCACGAATGTGTCTTTGGAAGTGCTGATCACACAATTGCTCCCATTCGTAAAGAGCACATTGGTGATAGCTCCTCTGTGGCCGTTGAAGCGAGCCTTACAGGTGTTCGCGACAACGTCCCATACGACGACCTCGGTGTCCTGAAATTAACAGATATAGTTATATTTATTTGTGCCACAACAGGGTGTAAGCTAGCCGAAGTCACACACACACACGCAGACACATAGATACTTCTTTTGTATCCTTAGCAATCATTCGGTACTGGATCGCCCGAAACATTTCGGAAATCAATCTTAATTACCATGAAATGCCTCCGTCGCTCGGGGAAAACAAAAAGGCTTGAGCGTGATGATGAAACCAAAAAATAAAAATGAATTAGGTAGGTACTACTAACCTTAGAACCAGACACCAGGAAGTCACCTTCGCCATCGTACTGCATGCACGTCACAGCACATTTGTGAGCAGCAAATTCGCAAACCGCTCGTTTTTTATAGAGGTCATAAATGGCTATGACCCCATTTTCGTAGCCGACCGCCAGCTCGCGACCATTAGGGCTGGCTGCTATTCGGGTCACGAATGCCATCTCCGTTTTACCGGGGAGTACTGCAACCTGTGGAAGTAAACATAAAGTTTTAAAAATTTGAACTGAAGTCAAATTTAGACACTCAACAATGAAGAAAATTTTGTTTCAAACACTTTACATTACACAGCTGACAAAACTGTATAAAAGTCATAATTACCTCGACCTGTTCCAACATGTCCCAAACGACGACACTGTGGAGTGCTCCGACACCAACGTATCGTGAGTTTTTTGGAGACACAAACACGTTGTTACAGAACGAGCTGGCGATTGTAACGATATTTTCGTAAAAAGCGCTCATTTTTATTTTAATTACTGAATAAATTCGAACTACTAAAACACTGCACCGCACGACTGCACACTGGCTGTTCAGCTGAAGAGTGAATACTGATCGCTGCACTGGCCGCGTACGCAGGTAAGGGTGTCTACCCTTAGACCGAAGGCGGGGCGCGAGTGGAGGGAGCTACGCCCCGCCCCTATATCAATCTCGGTGATAAAGAAAGATACACTATCCAGCTCATTCATCCTTCTTCCTACTTACTGCTTTCCTATTAATATTATAAATGCAAAAGTTTAAGAAAGAAGATCTTCAATAAATCGCAAGGTCAAATTTTGGAAATAGCGGGGATGCGTGGCTTGCTGACGTGTTTCCAAATCGCAAAATCTACATATATATTATTTTCGCTAAACGAAACGGAGCAAATCAAATAGCAAACTTCACAGAAGTATGTTTTATTAAAACATGTAGATAAATTACCCACCATTGTTCTAGTGTGTTTAGCAACCCGTTCATAATGAAATATATAAGTATATGAATAATCTCAGGCCTGGAGAAGGATATAGGGCTACTTTTTATAAACACACCGTACAGATGAGAATTATGTTATAGAACTGTAATATATTAGACTGACACCCACATCCGAAATTCCATCAACACACAGCTTCAACGCGACCGAAGTCACGGGCAAAAGCTACCTTCATTATAATAACAATCAAATACACATGAAAAGTTTAACAAAATTACCTAAATATCAAATCGTCGCACGTGTAAAATATCACGTAACCTAAATCCTTATCTAGGCAGAGGCACTTACCGACGAAATAAGGAATTAATTTGCATTCTTCGTTGAGATACTCGGAACACTCCATTTTGCGGTAGATTGCTCAGATTGCAGATTCTCACGGTTTCGGACGTGTTATCATTTCTTTAGCGATTTTCAGACACTTAAAAAGAATCAGGAGATTGAGCCATAATAAATGAATCTTGTAGGTAGTTCCTTATTAATACTCTATACGAATTACTAGCTCCTGCCAGCGGCTTCGCCCGCGTTCCGAATTTTATCTTAATCCCTTCAGCCGTTTTGACGTGGTTGAGTAACACACACACACACACAAACTTTCGCATCATATCTATCGGTTGTTTCCTCATAATTATAATGTCTAGGTCTTTATTGTAAGTATTTGGTCGTGTTGTTACCAGGTTACAGTAATAATATTGAATACACTCCTGGAGTGGCGGTCAGCAAAATTATCTAACCGTCTACCCCCATGAGGAGACAGGCGCGGGCGTGAGGTTACATATTTAATGTAATGAGGCGTAAGTTGTGCGAGAAATTTTGAAAATATGTATTTAAAACAATAAATTACGGTTCGTTATTAAGTTAATCTTCATAGACCTGACCGCTCCGCACCGCATCCCACGTGCGTATTGTCACGTACACCACTTCAATAGGTTTCGACAGTTTGTTGCTTTGGTGCCGTGCCGCACAGGACGTAGCGAGAGCGATCTAGAATCAAATGAGGAGCGAAAATAGAAATTAAGAAATGTTTCATTGAATTGCCTTATTAAAAGTACTAAATGATTTTCAAACTCTGAACAAAATTAACACATTTATGGCTTTGAATATAGGTAGGTATATGCTTATAATGTAGATTTAGTAAACTTGATCAGCCGTTTAGACGTGATGGAGTACCGAACATACACACGAACTTTCGAAAAATACCTACCAGTTGTTTTCGTTACTCTTCTTTCATCCATCCTTTCTACATGTCCAAACCAGCGTAACATTCCATTTTCAATCCTTGTCACTACATCATCTTTCAAATCAACAAACTAATATTTAAAAGTATAAAAAGCCAAGCTACCAATGGAGCCCTTCAACAGACAAAAATCCTCACGATACGTGCCGTTTCGGGGAGAACTGCCTTCTGTATCAGGCCCTTGATTCATCCGAATAACGCCAGCCTCCTAAGATGGATAATTGGTAGCATTATATTTACAGAGGTGACAGTTGTGTATAAAACTATTCTATTATTAAGACCTGTATGGACCATTGTAGTAAGAAAATTATATTCATTCATAAAATTAGTAAAACGGATTTCTAATGTATTGCATTAAATTAAGTAAAATCGAGGGTTACTCACGTGGATATAGTGAGAAAGCCCTACTAGTTTCGAACTACAGAGGGGTTCTTTCTCATGAGCAGCGTGCGCGACGTCGCCGCGACCGCGAATATTATTATGCTCATACTATATTTTGTCAGAGTGATCGTCCGATATTTTTTGTTTATTAACAGTAAGCCCCTAAGGCTTGTGTCGGTTTGTTACGTTTTTGACCACATCTGTTAAATAGAAACTGTCATATAAACTAATGTTTATCGACGAATCATATTTTGGCCCTGAAAAGGGCCTTTTGTTTTAAAAATGCGAATGCACTTGGAGTTCTTGATGCAACTCCTCTGCAATGAGTGAAGGACGCTCTCCACGACCTGCATTATGCACCACCTTCATTATCTACGTACGCCAATTCTGTCTTATGCCCCTCGCCGTGGGTGGGGCATTAGAGGCGAGGCATTTGCAGCATTGGAGGCTACAAAATTCTCCTTTGACTGGGGAGTGGGATTGGTAGGTATGGCAGAGGTATGCTTTGTTCCACCTCCTACTTTTCTCTCTCCTCGATTGCTAGGGCCATGATTTCTATCACAGGACGCAATGTGGCTACTACTTCCATTTGCTATTAGTTGCATGGCCCCTTCATACGCCATGTCAACTTCGTTTTGCATGTCCGTTTTGCGTTTAGATCGACCTTTCCTTCTGTTGACACCATCTTCATCAAGGATCCTTAAAAGATCCATTGCTCCCTCGTATGCCATGTCCAATTCCTTCAATCTTTCTCCGCTGGGAAACAGAAGTATGGGATGAGAATTACCATTTGTGGTACGACATTTCTGGTTCACGTGTGGTACGGCATTCGTCATTTTTCCATTCGATGTTTTGCTTTTAGTGACACCCTTCAAATGGTTCTTTACTTCAGATGTATTTCTGCGTCCTTCCGTGCGGCTATTTTTTATTCTATCCCGGTTTTCTCTCGAAATGCGACCAGGATTTCCATTTTCCTTCAATTGATGTCCAGTACCCTTGTTAGACATGATGATGTTTCGCAATGATTTTAATGTAATATAATATTTGTAAGTAATGGTCGACGAGCGACAGACGACTGTTCGTGTCAACGACTAGTCAAGCAATGCCTCTTCGGCAACTACGATTCAACAAAGCTAAACATTGGTGTAAGGAGAGCTACCTGCCACAGATAATGCGTGGTAATTTCCAACTTACTCACAACCCGCCGTGGGACCCATAAAATAACACGTGTCATTCCTTTATTATTTTTAGTATTAATAGTCTTGCATTATCTTAATAATTAATATACCATCGCGCCTTTTATCCCCGAAGGCATAAACAGAGGTGCATATTACGGCACATAATGCCACAGTACAATGTGACACCCACTTTTCACTATTAATGTGACGAGTATCTTAATAATTAGTAAGTAACTGGCAATTACTCAATGAAAAGTAAAAAATTGAATTGTGGAGAATAGGTATCGATCAGCAGCAGATACTTAAATAGTTTATTAATTATCTTTAGGTAACGAGCTTAAAATGACTCAGTTTAAGAAATTAGCGATTAGGGACAACATTGCGAGGAAACCTGCGCTTTTAATTTCTTATTAAATCCAACTAATATCTAATATGAAATTCGTTAATTGTTTTATTTAGAACATAAATTTAGTTTTAACCGACTTCAATGAGTGAGTTCTTCATGAGTTTCTCAAATTGTCCTATATTATGTATGTTTGTGTGCGATTATCCGGTGAACCGATTTTGATGCGGTTTTAAGAATATTATTATACCTAATATAATAAAAGTGGGGTTTGAAGTCGGTTAAAATAGTGTACTATTATTTTAGTTTATGTAGAGTAAAGTAGAGTGCATTTATTTATATGAATTAATTACTTAAAAAATGAGTAACAAAAGAAGTAAATTAATTCTTGTTATGACCAGTGCATTTTCTGTGGAAAGAAATACCACAAAAATCATAAAAGCAAACAGAATCTTGTTTAAGTAACACAAAACATTAATTTCTTTGGCAATGTCAAGCTTCAAACTCGGTTACTTTTTCGAAGCATCCACTGATAAGACTTTGGTTTATTGTCCCACGCTGACAAAGCACTAGTCCTCTATTGTTTAAGTATTATAAGTTATATGTTTTCTATTGAAAGAAGAGGTAATTATTGTGACCACACACGCATTTTGCTATATTTTCAATGAATTTCTCGAAACCTTATAAACGGATCTAGAGAGGACGAACGTTTTGAGGATAAAATCATTTACGATCTTCAAGAAGGATTATTTAATACCATACCAATATACACAATAGAGCCAGGCTTTATATTGGGGAAGTTTATACTACAGGAAACAATGTCTAGTTTTAATTCCGCTACGATATCACGTAGCAGTAGCTACGAAATTTCGTAGTATGCGCTACGAACTTCCGTAGCTAACGCTACGAACATCCGTAGCAAGTTTTAGATGATGATTCTTAACTTACCCAGACCATTATGATAAAGGCTACAGCCAATCGATCACTTTCATGTAATCGAAGTATAAGAGCTTCTGTCCAGCTTCCTTTGTAGCCAATCAGACCTAATTTGGACAAAGCCGGTGAAGTCGGTTATAACGATATATAAAACTAACATATTAGTTTTTTTAAACAAATATGTAAACCGCTAAATAAGTATCCATGGGAGTCTTCAGAGCCCGAGTAAAATAGTTTTTTATAGGTAGGCGTACTCCATGGTAAGGTGCATCATCCGTAACCACAGTTTTCCGCGAAAAA